ATGGCAAGAACCAAGCAGACCGCCCGTAAGTCCACCGGAGGCAAAGCCCCCAGGAAGCAGCTGGCCACCAAGGCTGCCCGTAAGAGCGCGCCGGCCACCGGCGGCGTGAAGAAGCCTCACCGTTACAGGCCCGGTACCGTGGCTCTGAGAGAGATCCGCCGCTACCAGAAGTCCACCGAGCTGCTGATCCGCAAGCTGCCCTTCCAGCGCCTGGTCAGGGAGATCGCTCAGGACTTCAAGACCGACCTGCGCTTCCAGAGCTCCGCCGTCATGGCTCTGCAGGAGTCCAGCGAGGCTTACCTGGTGGGTCTCTTCGAGGACACCAACCTGTGCGCCATCCACGCCAAGAGGGTCACCATCATGCCCAAAGACATCCAGCTGGCCCGCAGGATCCGCGGAGAGAGGGCTTAAACTCACCCGACTACACTCAACAAACCACCACGGCTCTTTTAAGAGCCACCTCACTCTCAGCTCAAGAGCTCCTTCCTGCTGATGACACATGTTTAACATCACTGACAACATATCAGTTATTTCATTTTTAATTATTATCAATCATTATTTCATTAAGGTTAAGTTAGATATAAATTCCCTCTCAGTCTGTTGTTGTATTACCAAAATTAGAGATTGTTTGTTTTCACATTAATCCTATTTATGATGTCAAATGCCACCATATTATATCAAAAGAACTTCTTTACTTCATAATGTGTGAAATTAAAACTTGTTTCAACTGAATATTTTTCTTGTTATTACAATTCCCCTTCCATCCATTATGTCTCATGTCATTTTGCAGAAGAAGATTCTGGTTTTTCAAGCTCTCAGCTTAATCCTGTGACCCTTGTGAGGGGTCTCCTGCATTAGTCAGGTACCAATACACAAAACTATAATATATCAGAAACACAGGACTTTTTTCTCTCACCACAACAAGTTATATTTTACGTTCCTCCATCAGTTAATCCAAATTTCTGCTCACAAACTTTTGAATGCAGGATAATATTGGTTGTACTGACACTTCTATTGACATAGGGGCATGGAGTCTTCTGACACCTGTGTTTCATAGAGGTAAAATGAGCGCCCAGTCTGTATAAGACACTTCATGTTTTTTCTTCAGTTTCAGTTTGTTAGACATCTGTACATGCCAGCTTTGAAAGATGACAGAACCAGCCTCTCATCCAGAGGCATTTGTCCCTGCTGACTTGTTTTTAAATTATATTCAGACATTCAGTACGTTGTTTCAGCCTCGCTGCCTTTTTGAAAAGCAACTTGATAAAACCTTAGATTGTTTGTGATATTGCCATCTTTGTTGAATTTGCACGAGGTGAGGCTTCATACTTTGGTCTTACTTCGGGTCATCTGCTGCATCTTTTCCAAGAAAAGATTTAGGTGTAACTTCCATGTTACTTGTCCAATCTTCCCCACATGGCTCTTGTTTAAGGCTCCAGGCCTGAAGGCATCATGCCCTCTATCCTCTATCAGATCATAGAACAATATATGAACATTACCTCTGCAAAGGTTGATTCTGATAAAGTGAAGTAGAAGAAAATTAGAGAGGTTTTAATAGGGGTCTCCAAAATTGCCATTTTGGCACAGTTTGGCACCATGTGTGACATTTGATTTCTCATTTAAATCACTAATGGTTTTCAATAAATCCAACATATTTCCCATTCCAAAAATGACCCCACAAAGCAACTGAATGTTGAATCCATGGGGCAGATTAACCTTTCGGTGCTTCGGAGGCTCCATCTCCGCAACAGATGGGTCGAGTTGAGTGAATGACACCTCATTCAATTCGTTAGAGCCAATAGAATGGCGCTATACTCACCAAGAAGAGATTGACAGCACTGTCAGCCGGCAGAATAAACTTTTCATGGCAAAAACAACAAAGGTGAGAGAAATTTTACAACTAGGCTATAGCTTGGCGAAATGATTTGTTGTTGTTCTTTGGCCTCTGTCTCTCAGATGCTTTGGTGTAGCGTGCTTTGGCGGACATGTTCGGAAATTGTGGAATGTCTGCTTTCATTTGAGCTGTGTGCTGTGTGTTTTGCACGAAGTGCCGTAGAGGTAGAGACAGAAATATGGCGGGTGGGTTGACACATCAGTGCTGTATGGTGGCTGTACCACATGGTTCAGTTCTTGGCGCAAGGTTTTGACAGCAATATAAATCCCACAGGCTCTATTAGAAATGTGTGGTTGTTATAGGACAGTTTTGGTCAGATGAGTGAAGGATAGTTGCTAGGATGGAGCCAACGAGGAAGAGGAGGATTTCCCTGTGTGGGAAGACTTTGATTTGATTACTCCCAATAACAAACTAATTATATAATTACAGATGCATTAAGTCTGCTTATCGAGAACTGTATTTTTCACTATTTCTTCTTTTATTTAAAAAGGTGAGGTGTTTGTGTTCCAAGGATATAATAACACTTCATCCATGCCAAGGCATTTCCGTGCCTTGCATGAGAATAAGGAGGGAACTGGAGGTGCACCCAGACAAGGTAATTCATTAAAATATTACAAGTATACTGTCACAATTTTATTATGTTGACGTTTGTTTATTGTGCAAATGAAAGACAAGTAACAAACTGTATTTACATATATTCTCTTTTATCCAGCCACCAGAAAACAAGAGCTGTATGAGGCCTAATCTCCATGATAGGGAAGCATTTGTGTCCAAACTGGATCCTACCTATGTTCTCTCCACAAGGCAGGTGTGTATGGGTGCATGCATAAAGCAAAGGTGTACTTTCATTGTTCATCTGACAATTCAGCACTGTTGTTTTTTTGTTGTTGTTGTTTTTCCCCCTTTAGACTGTAGAGGCCATGGCGGAGGCCAAATATGACGCAGCTAAGGAGAAGGCTAAAGTGCAGAAGGTGGCTGCAGTTAGCCTTACGTCTGACATGTGGACACACATTAACATGGATGCCTACCTGGCTGTTACCTGCCATAATTAGGTCGGCTCAAACCCCAGAACTATCAGATCAGTATCACAGGATGTTCAACCTGTGACCCATGGTAATGTATTATTTTTGGTTTTGGGGTCAATTATGATAATTAAAACACTCACTAACATGATCTGTGTGTTCTTCTCAGGTAACAAACTGTGGCGTCATCAAGGCAACACTGCCATGTAAACAAGAGAACACAAGATTGTAACTGCAGATGTTACTGTGGAGGTATAGTGTTACCTGTCCGAACTACTGATGTTACACTCGAGCCAGTTCGCTCGACACAGTGTCGATCTTTTGAAGCAAAGTGTTCCGAGACAGTGTATCGATCCCTGATTTGGCACGTCCACAATCACGTGACTACTGTGAGCAAGGCCTTGTTATGTTATATCGCGTGTTGCCCTGCTTCGCGGGAATTTCGATTTTCAATATGTCAAGGCTTTAAAAAGGGTTCTGATTCACTGCTCAAACAGTGAATAGATATATGTATGTCAACATATCGCTGTAAAACTGAAAAACAACTGAAATGTATACTTTTAAATAATAATGTTTGCATACTTTCATTGTAAGGTCGGCAAGCTGAGTTGGACAAGGCACTGGTTGACATGGCTGTGCTTGACACTCAACAATTTAAAGTGGTGGAGGACAAAGGCTTCAGGGCACTCGTACAGAAGCTGGACCCAACCTACATCTTGCCTACTCACCAGGCCTTACAAGCTGTGGTGGAGAAACGGTATAAGAGGCTGAAGAGAAGGCAAAGCAGAAACTGGAGAAAGCACATCTGTAAGCTTAACTGCAGACATGTGGACCTCCATGAACATGGATGCCCATCTTGGGGTCAAGTGTTTTGCTTGGTGTAGGACATTTCATACAGTCCCACACAGCAGAACATTTGAGGGATGCCATGGAGCTGCAGATAAANCCACGCATGTTTCCTCCTCCTGCAGCTGCCACGGTGTTGGCCTTTTCTGTAATGTTGCTTTTCTCCTCCTCATATTTTAGTAGAATTAATCTCTGATCCTCACGAGAAATACTTTTTTCTCCCTCACATACGGCGCTCTGTGAGGACGCTCAGTGAGGACGCTCAGTGACGCTCAGTGACGCTGCGTTTCTCTCATGATTGTGATTTGTCCGCTGCGTGTGCGTTCACAGCTCTTGATAAAGCAACACTGGGTTGAGTTACCGAGTTGATATCCGGCGTCGTGATACCGATTATCCTGATTGCCATTGTTAGGGTTAGTCAACCCAGGATAGGTCTGGGTAACCCAGGAAAGGTTGATCTCGCTTCGTGATACAGGCCCCTGGCCTGGTCACCATTTTGGATCCACAATTTAAAACATTAGCTTTTGTCAATGAAACATATGCACAAGAGGCCATGTAAAAATTGACCGCAGAATGCGCTTGAGCCATGAGGGCTGAGAGGGGAATACCGTCAACATCACAGGCAGTGTATCATTTATCATTCCATATTATTATTATTGTGTTTTCCATACCTCTCTAAAAATGTTATCAACTCCATCAGTCAGCTGCCAAGGAAGAACATGGGCCTTCAGCAGAAGACAGCTTGTGGGATCTTTTGGACAGCAGAGTTGGATATTACTGTATGCATCGTTTTGTGATTATGAAAAATGACTAATTTCCCTTTTCTTTTTGTTTGGGTAAAGCAAAACAATTTTAAAGTGCAACAACACATGCTTCAGTGGAGTTTCAAAGATATTTGTCTGAGCTCTACCTCTCCAGAGGAGAAGACCTGCTTACTTACTGGGCATCACGTGGAATAATATACCCAAACCTTATCAAGACGGCCAAAAAGTATCTCCACATGCCACCAACATCTGTGCCATGTGAGTGGGTCTTATCAAAAGCTGGAGAGGTAGTCAGCCACAATGGGGCAGACTGAAACCACGCACTGTCAAAATGCTTTTTTTATTTTTTTTTAAACAAAAACACTCCCTGGTTTACTCGTACATCTCATTTATATTACCACAAGAGTATTATACAAAAGTAGTACAAGCACNTATATGTATGTATATGTGTGTGTGTGTGTGTGTGTATGTGTGTATGTGCTGCCACGATTCGTGCCTCTCCTGCATATAGATATATGTTGCTATGTGACTGTCTCTGTTGGACACATGAGGCAGACATGTCTTTCTCAGGATTTATTGCAGGACCTCTCATTAAAAGTTACAGGAACAGGTCGGTGTAGTCTGTAGAAAGCAGAACCTGTATGATGATCTTTAACAATACTGGTAATAAATATCATACAATGGCAATTTTACTACTGGTCATAATAATACAGTGGGGAAGATGTACAATAATAAAATAGGTAAACTGGTGCATATGGTGCAGAAATTAAATGGCACCTCAATAGATTTCTTTCTTTAACAGAAATAATAACCAGGGCATTAGTTCCTTTTGTAGCGGTGCACATGATATAAAATGCACTCCAACTCACATCAGCTGGTGATATATCTGGACCACCAAACACTTTCACTCGTAAATACTCCATTCATTGACCTGCATAATAACAGTGAGGGAAAATGCCCTTTGTGGTTTCTACCTAATTGAAATAGCAACTCATGCCTTAGTTTAATTTGACATGTGATTTTGCTTAAAGCATTATAAGAAAGCTCTAAATGGTCAAGCTCCATCATATCTTAGAGAGCTCATAGTGCCATATTATCCCACCAGAACACTGCGCTCTGAGAACGCAGGGTTACTCGTGGTCCCTAAAGTCTCCAAAAGCAGATCAGGAGCCAGAGCCTTCAGCTATCAGGCTCCT